TTGAAATGTTGGTCAAGGCATGTGCTCAATGCCAAGAAAGTGCGAAATGTCCACCTGCCAAGTCGGGAACCTGGTCATGGCCAAACGGTCCTTGGAAACGGGTGCATATCGACTTTGCAGGACCATTCATGGGCAAGATGTTCCTGGTTGTGGTGGATGCATACACAAAGTATCTGGATGTAATTGCAATGTCTAATGCCACGTCTGCAACCACTATTGCGGCTCTGCGGCACGTGTTCTCTGTGTTTGGTCTGCCGGAGCATCTTGTTTCAGATAATGGAACCCAATTCACGAGCGAGGAATTCAAGGCTTTCCTCCGTGCCAACGACATTGTGCACACCCTGACGGCTCCAGGCCATCCGGCTACGAATGGACTTGCTGAGCGCTATGTGGGTGTGTTTAAGCAGAAGTTGAAGGAAATGGGTGCAACGAGCGAACCACTGCAAGCTCGGCTCGACAGGTTTCTGCTAACGTACCGCACGACACCCAACCATGCCGGCAGAACACCGGCGGAGATGATGTTTGGACGCCAGCCACGCACGCGGCTCAGTGCTCTGCGTCCCTCGCAGGTACGTCAACAAGCAAAGGCTTATGAGGACGGCAATCGCGTCAAGCCAGCGTTCACAGAGAGTGACTCTGTGTTTGCGCTGAATTTCGGCAAAGGTAATCGTTGGGTCCCGGGACAAATTGTGCGTGTCCTCAGTGACTACAACTATGAAGTACAAGTGGGTGATGTGTTGTGGAAGCGTCACCGAGATCAGTTGCGTCTACGGTCAGTTCCGGCAAGCTTGAGTGCATCGCTGCCAGAACCACTGTTGGATACAATCGATCAGACGTCACCGTCACCAGTGCTGTCAGACGTAGGAGATTCGTCACGGCCCAGTGATTTTCCGGCTAGCGTCTCGCCACAGTCTGCTACTGTACAAGTTGAGGCGGATCCTCCTTGTGAGCAGTCGGCTCCTGAAGTTGGTTTACCACAGGTCGAGAATACTCCCTGTGAAACCACTGTTAGACGTTCGTCTCGGCGTAGTGTTCGTCCGGATAGACTGATTGAACAGCTTTGAGCCTTTCCCTGATGTCATTGCTGGACTGTTTAGCGAACTAGTAATTATTACCATGTACAATAGTGTGCAAGATCCTTGGTATTGCTAATATTGACTGACGGATTCCTGCGTCAGATTATGTTATTGTAGTGCTGTGTCAAAGTTTAAGAATTCACGTACGGTGGATTGATGAACTTATTTTATGTGTTTCTTCAACGATTTTTGAGGTATTTAATTGTGGTAGAATATTTCCTGGAACATTCTTGAAAGGGGGCAGTTGTTGTGTATGCAAGTTAGTCATTATATATCTACTACACCGTTTGCTACTGACTGCGCATGCTCGCATATGGTTGTTGTTGTTACTTTACCTGACCAAGAGGAATGTCTTACAAATGCAAGTGTTTGTGTGTGTCAGTAAGAATGCCTGAGTGTAATGGAATGTTAGTCCGCAAGGGGACATAACACTCCTAGTAAGCGCTTTGACTGTGCTCTCTGAAGAACGAAGGATTCAGTAATTCCAACAAAATATAGAATAAACACAGTACTCAATCTGCGGACAGCATGCTGTTTCGTTCTTTTTGAACTCATCAGCGCAGCACAGAGGAAATGAGGCCGAACCTGATAGCAATGGAAATAAAACTTTCCAATCAGGTCCGAACGTACCTTGCCAGAGTGCTCAAACTGACAAGTCAGTGAGCTCTGCATAACGCCAACAGCAAAGGCACTACCCCACGCAAGAGTGCTCAACTGCTGCAAGAGCAGGAGCGAAATACTCAATCTGCGGACAGCATGCTGTTTCGTTCTTTTTGAACTCATCAGCGCAGCACGGAGGAAATGAGGCCGAACCTGATAGCAATGGAAATAAAATTTTCCAATCAGGCCCGAACGTACCTTGCCAGAGTGGTCAAACTGACAAGTCAGTGAGCTCTGCATAACGCATACAGCAAAGGCACTACCCTACGCAAGAGTGCTCAACTGCTGCAAGAGCAGGAGCGAAATACTCAATCTGCGGACAGCATGCTGTTTCGTTCTTTTTGAACTCATCAGCGCAGCACAGAGGAAATGAGGCCGAACCTGATAGCAATGGAATAAAACTTTCCAATCAGGCCCGGACGTACCTTGCCAGAGTGTTCAAACTGACAAGTCAGTGAGCTCTGCATAACGCAAACAGCAAAGGCACTACCCCACGCAAGAGTGCTCAACTGCTGCAAGAGCAGGAGCGAAATACTCAATCTGCGGACAGCATGCTGTTTCGTTCTTTTTGAACTCATCAGCGCAGCACAGAGGAAATGAGGCCGAACCTGATAGCAATGGAAATAAAACTTTCCAATCAGGCCCGAACGTACCTTGCCAGAGTGCTCAAACTGACAAGTCAGTGAGCTCTGCATAACGCAAACAGCAAAGGCACTACCCCACGCAAGAGTGCTCAACTGCTGCAAGAGCAGGAGCGAAATACTCAATCTGCGGACAGCATGCTGTTTCGTTCTTTTTGAACTCATCAGCGCACCACAGAGGAAATGAGGCCGAACCTGATAGCAATGGAAATAAAACTTTCCAATCAGGCCCGAACGTACCTTGCCAGAGTGCTCAAACTGACAAGTCAGTGAGCTCTGCATAACGCAAACAGCAAAGGCACTACCCCACGCAAGAGTGCTCAACTGCTGCAAGAGCAGGAGCGAAATACTCAATCTGCGGACAGCATGCTGTTTCGTTCTTTTTGAACTCATCAGCGCAGCACAGAGGAAATGAGGCCGAACCTGATAGCAATGGAAATAACACTTTCCAATCAGGCCCGAACGTACCTTGCCAGAGTGCTCAAACTGACAAGTCAGTGAGCTCTGCATAACGCAAACAGCAAAGGCACTACCCCACGCAAGAGTGCTCAACTGCTGCAAGAGCAGGAGCGAAATACTCAATCTGCGGACAGCATGCTGTTTCGTTCTTTTTGAACTCATCAGCGCAGCACAGAGGAAATGAGGCCGAACCTGATAGCAATGGAAATAAAACTTTCCAATCAGGCCCGAACGTACCTTGCCAGAGTGCTCAAACTGACAAGTCAGTGAGCTCTGCATAACGCAAACAGCAAAGGCACTACCCCACGCAAGAGTGCTCAACTGCTGCAAGAGCAGGAGCGAAATACTCAATCTGCGGACAGCATGCTGTTTCGTTCTTTTTGAACTCATCAGCGCAGCACAGAGGAAATGAGGCCGAACCTGATAGCAATGGAAATAAAACTTTCCAATCAGGCCCGAACGTACCTTGCCAGAGTGCTCAAACTGACAAGTCAGTGAGCTCTGCATAACGCAAACAGCAAAGGCACTACCCCACGCAAGAGTGCTCAACTGCTGCAAGAGCAGGAGCGAAATACTCGATCTGTGGACAGCATGCTGTTTCGTTCTTTTTGAACTCATCAGCGCAGCACAGAGGAAATGAGGCCGAACCTGATAGCAATGGAAATAAAACTTTCCAATCAGGCCCGAACGTACCTTGCCAGAGTGCTCAAACTGACAAGTCAGTGAGCTCTGCATAACGCAAACAGCAAAGGCACTACCCCACGCAAGAGTGCTCAACTGCTGCAAGAGCAGGAGCGAAATACTCAATCTGCGGACAGCATGCTGTTTCGTTCTTTTTGAACTCATCAGCGCAGCACAGAGGAAATGAGGGAATAAACACAGTAGATATATAATTGTGACACTCGTAAATTCTTCAATATCTGGAGTCTTCTGCACAGCACATGAAGAACACACAGATCGCACAGGGAACACACAGAGAACAGAGACCGTGCACAGATCGCACAGACAACACACAGAAAACACAGAGAACGCACACTACTGCATACTGTCTTCAGAACATACATCGAAGCACAAAATCTGGGCTATCAGCTTGAGTAACTATTCACTTTGGACAGAGGGGGCAAACGGTGTTGTCCATGCTTCGCCTGGTTATTGTACTCAGCCTTCAACAGCGGTACAAAGAGCTCCGGAACAATGCATCCTCTCAGCTTGAGGCGATCGATGCAGTCTGGTGTAAGCTCATAGAATACTGCTCACAGATGCCGAACAAACGATCATTTACCAAGGCTGGCCTCGAGGCCATTTCTGAGTCCCAGCTTCGCCGTATCCAACCAGTCCATACTGGTGACTCGCACGATCATACACTCACTGTGCATGTTCAATTTTTTTCCAAAAAAATCAAAACGTATGCGCGCGGACGACGCGAAACATTGATATAAAAAATGATGGCCTCATACCAAGAAGAAAGTGTTAGCTCCCGGCTAATGAAGTCCCCTTACACCAAAACACAAGGGTTTTATAGTATTGAATTATGGAAGTACAAGAGTGTAGACAAGAAGGATAACAGGACAACGACAACTCAAGACAGCTAGAACAGAACTGGAGCATGCGCTCTTCTATGTGAGTGGCTCTCATCGCCAAGGGGAACAAGCGGGAAATAGGAATAGTGAGTATGACATTGTACAGGTCGTAGCATAAATACACCTATTACAAAAGGACCAAAGGTTTACAAGTTACCCATAGTTGTCCAACACTGCTCACCTTCCCCTTTCTTAAGATATTTCACAACTTAGAACCTTCCAAAGTTGGAAGGCTGTTGGCATGTGCACTCAATACGTAATGGAGTTGAACGTCAAGTCGTTTAATGTCGGCACAACAGCAGTCAATATTGTGCTAACTGTTGGACGTTATGACTCATCAATATCAAACTTTTAATTGCCAGTGTTGGACAACTACGGGTAACTTGTTAACCCGGCTTTAGTCATTTCTTCTCAAGTGTAATCCTTGGCTCTCCATCCGAGTTTATTCATATCACCAATACTTTGGAATTTGAATGCTTTCATTGACAGTGATTGATATTTGTACCGGTAAGGGTTTTATGTTGTCTTGAAAATTAAGCTTATCAGTGTTGAATATTTCTTCTCACAATTTATTCGCATAACAGATGGAGAATTTATAATGAAGTCAAGTCCCAGTGGCAGTGCCGTGTTCATCAGCAACACAGGTTGGAATTTCTACGCACCTCCCCTGAACTATGACTTTACAAAATGCACTGTCAGCATCCCAAGCAGGAATCTCTCACATACCTTCAAAAGCAATGGATTTGAATTGGTTGAGGATTCTACTCAGCCTCAGTCCTATTTTAAATACCGGATCAGTATCAACTACATTGACGCAAATGCCACGCACTCCTGGTTTCTACTCGATGGACGTATGAAAGACGAGGATTGTTTGCTGAAATGTAAAGAGGGTAGCATGCTGCATGGCAATCCATTCAATGTCATTAAAGGCATTAGCTACACGACCGCTGCAATCAGTACAACTCTATGGAAGACTCCATCCGATGAATATTTTCCAGTGCCTCAGAAAAGCGACGGTATGTTGTTTCCCATACTACACTTGCTATACATGATATGTAGCTGTAAAAGGGTGTATTCACCCATAGCATGTGTGCGTGTGTGTGTTGACTGTTTAAATAGAAATGAAAGGCATAATAAACGCACTTATTTTGCAATCAACATGTGACAGTGTGTTGGATCCAAGCCCTTTCTTGTGCCATACATCAGGAATCAATCACCACAATGGCATTATAGGTGAAGACAGTTTTAGAGAGCATGTCTGAGAAAACTAGGAAAGGTGGTTTGCAGTACTGTCGGAGGCTGAAGAACGGGGGTTCACAGTCGTAGAGTACACCATTTCTATTTCCATGTAGAAATTTCAAAGCAGCAGAAGCACCATGTGTACTATTGGTTATCCTGTATCCCGTCCGTGCTCATTTCTACCCTGTTCTCTCTTCAGCACACCGTTCTTCAGCACTCAATGGTGCTAAAAAACATGTTGAGTCACCTCTACCATTACACTGCGCTCTTTAGCCGACTAGATCCTCTTGCACACAATCATCACCACTGCGAGGACACTTCTGTAGACGATATTGATAATTCCTTCTGACAGCTGAATAAAAATAGAACAGTTCGCGTGCAAGGCAGCAAATGCTCTAACCTTTCCGCTTCTATCTCTTTTGAGCTCTGCTGCATGTGATGGTTGTGAAAAAAAGGAAAAGAAAAAAACCCCGAGAGAAGTGAAAGTGCACAACCGGATAGAAGTGTGTATGGTAATGGGTGTATGTAAGTACCCGCATGCATGTGCTAGTGTGCGTGCGGGGAAGTGTGCGTGTGGGAAACGAAGTGCAAGCACTAATAGTTACTGAGCGGCCAAAATGCAGCGGTTACAGCTTGAACGTTAAGAACGGAGTCACTGAGCGGAGCGGACAAAATGCAGCCGCTACTGACGGAACATGGCACGCCACTGATTCTTGTCAGTGGCAGTGGCGCAAACCTCTTCCAAATCCCCCACACTCTTCAACGGGATGTTCCTTTCTTGGAGGTCCTTGATGACCGTGGTGGCGAGTGTTGTCTTCGGTCTACCACGGTGGCCGGTAGCGTCTCGCTTCAGGTAGCATGTCATAGCTCTGAAGGCAGGTGCATTGGGGTCCATCCAAAGGACGTGCCCTAGCATTTGCGTTCTGCGGCGCTTTACAATTGCAGATATCGGTTCAGAGCTGCACCTCTTGTACAACGCATCATTCGTTATATGGTCTGGGTGACGAATTTCAAGAATTGTGCGTAGCTGTTTCCTGTGGAATACGTCCAGGGATGCCAGGTTGCCCTCCGTGAGTCCCGACGTCTCACAATTGTAGAGGAGGGTGGAGATCACGAGGGCATTGTATATTCTCAGCCGGCGCTTTTCTGATACCTTCTCCTTCCGGAGCCATAGGGAGAACACCCTGCCCAAGACCTGCGAGGCGTTTTCCATGCGGTGAGCAATATCATCACCCTCGCCCAAGTAGGACCCAAGCTGTTTAGATTTCTTCCATCTTTCACCTTCAGACGTTAAGTGGATCCATTCTGTCTTCGCCTCGTTTACTTTCAGACCCCAGACTCCGAGTGTGGCACTTATCGCGGGCAAAACTTCCTTGAGCCAAGATAACTTACGAGACAGGAAGTTAACATCATCAGCGTAACCTGTCTCTGGTGGGATCATGTTATCATGCTCTGGCCTTGGAGGGAAACGGTCAAACTATACCAGCGACGCGCCCAGTGGTCCGATATGCGGTATATATGGGACGGTAGCTTGCTGCAGCTGCAGTGGATGGATAAACGGTGTGTGACAATGATATCCAATATCCACTGTGCTACGGAATATGTGAATGAAAATAGAACTATAACCCTTTACCGGTCTACCATAAGCGTACCGATACTATAGTACGGTACGTTTGGCCCTCATTTTTTTGGGGTCTTGTTGCTAGGAGACAGCTAAAATGCGTAGCTGAGGTCCAAGGCTTTCTGACGATGTGCAAAACAACCATGCTTGCCATACAAATTTTTGCCGTATCGATCGACTGAAGTTTGTAGAAATTGGAAAAGACGACCATCCGCCATGCGCGCATTTCAAGAATGGGAGTGCATCTCTTGGGGCCGTGTTTGACAAGCGCTCTGAGAGCAGTAACATCACCAGTCCAGGCTGGATGTCCCGGGAGGTTTTGCAGTGTAGTGTGTTGAGAAAAAGAGCTCCGTTGAGTCCTGCTAGTTCAAAAATATATCGTCCATGAATGAAGAAACAAAATTCTCCAAACAGAGAGGAAGCCTTCTTGCTGCCGACACGGCGACAGCGACTGTCACAAGGACTCGTCAGGTGCGATCAGCTGATTCGCCTGGCCGTGAGAATCACGGCATGCGTAAGCTCGCGCCTGAGTACTCATCTGAGCGAGAGTGAATCTGACGCGAGCAGCGCTGAGATGAACAAACCGAAACTGCGATATCGTGCAATGGGAATTGCTGCTGCTGGCGTATCGCCTAGGGCGAGGTGTTGGTGTTCAATGGCGGTATTGTAGAGAGCCTACATTTCTTGTAAAGACGTAGCCCTTACCTGATTGTTTATCGTACGACTATAGCTCCATCACGAACTTGGTATGCCCTTCGTGCTGTGATATTTGTGTACTTCATTCGCAATTGTATTTTCTCTCAACTTGAAGGGCTACCATGGGCCCTATCCTTGCCTGGACCTAGTCCTATTTGAATTTTCTGGACGCGTTCAGGCACACAGATTTTGAAAATATATGGTTAACCCACATGCATGCACGCATACACACAATAAACTTAAAACAACCAAAACATCAATATGCACATTTATCCAGACACGCTCTCACATACACACGCACGCATGTGCGTGCCAAACGTACAAAACGTGGACACGTGTACACCAAGCAGATAGAATACAAGGAAGTGGGGTTTGCCATAGTTTTTTTTTTCAATTTTGTCTGATAAATATTTACGAGACTTTGCATCGAGCGACACCGTGGATAACATTGAGCCAAGAATTATGCAATAAACCAGAAGAGATATCTCTTCACAAGTAGGCAAATAAATGCGTAGGTGCCCGGCAACAGCAATCGGGCAAGTCACAGCAATGTACGTATTGCAACTTCAATGATACACATACACGGTTGACCACCCATGCCTCCATTTTCGGCGGGTCAACCACATGGTGGCCCGGCAACTTCAAACGGGAACACACCGATACAACATACACAGTTGACCATCCATGCCTCCATTATCGGCGGGTCAACCGCATGGTGGCCCGGCAACTTCAAACGGGAACACACCGATACAATAGACACAGTTGACCACCCATGCCTCCATTATCGGCGGGTCAACCACATGGTGGCCCGGCAACTTCAAACGGGAACACACCGATACAATAGACACAGTTGACCACCCATGCCTCCATTTTCGGCGGGTCAACCACATGGTGGCCCGGCAACTTCAAACGGGAACACACCGATACAACATACACAGTTGACCACCCATGCCTCAAACCGGCGGGTCAACCACACAACAACATACAGGTGTCACAACACTGAGACAGTACAGCACAACACTGAGAGGCAAATGCATTTGACCCTCCCAAAAACCAGTGTTTACGACCAAGCATTTCTCACGGCATCGCTCATTAGCATAACTTCCTGCAAGTAACCATGGCAAACCCCTAAGTGATACCCACAGAGCCACACCGGCACAAGGACTGCACAACAAGCGGAAGGCACAACACTGTACAACACTACAAATGTACCTCACTTCTGTTCTCAACACCACATGGGCATGGGCTGTTCCAGTCTTCGCTGCTAGCCATTGGGTATACCGGCTGCACGCCTGACATAGTGATCGGATGCTGCACTTCGCCAGCAGCCTGCACTGCATATGGCTGCTTCACAGCCACTTGTACTCCGGTGAGGTATGAGTGTGGCCCCGCCAATGCGCACAGCATGGGAGCTCACCCGGTTGCAGTTGAGGATCCTAGTCGAGAAAACTCGGGAGAAGTAGCCGCCGTCGACGAACACAAACACTGGCCGTGAGCTGCCGGCAGTAGCGGTCAGGGACCGGAACTCGGCCATAGCCGAAACTGGGTACATCAGATTATGTGTGCGCAAATACCGGGCTTAAAGGTCTGAGTCGCTCATGAGATCATTGCTGGCAGCAATCAGAGCGGCGAGTTCAGCGGAGGAGTTGGCACCAGGCACTGGTTGGCTGTGGAAGCCAGTTCTCGGAAGCGAGTAATCACAATAGGTTCATGCCGCATCTCAGCGGCCCGTTGCCCCAAAAACGATTTTCCTTGATAGAAACCGCAGAAGCCAACATCAGAGGCATCCGTGAATAGCTCAAGGTCAGGGGACTTTGAAAACTCGACATCGTAGAAGAAGGATTGGCCATTCCAGTTTGCGGCAAAGGAGCGCGACCATTCGATGTCCAAGTGAGCTTTGGTGTTGATGTTGACTACTGACTGAAGAGACTGAGAGAGTTGTCCAGGTAAGATACAGGAGTTGACGGATGAAGGTCCTGCCAGGAGGAACCATCTTTGCGGCAAGGACAAGGTTCCGATCAGCGACAGCAGTTCCCGCGTTGTGTAGCTAGTGCGCGTGGACTACTCACTCAAAGCCGCTAGAAAGGCAAATAACTTCTTGTCAGGTAGCCGCATCATCTGGTCCTCGCTGTCGACTTCTATGCCAAGTACCGTCACCACTGTTGCTGGGCCGACCACCTTGCTGAGGTTGTTGAAGACCTGCGGAACCGTTGCTTTCAGTTGAACTCATTCCATTGACCATCAAGCACACGAACATAAGCACCTTGTTAAGTGCAGCGTACTGGTTCTTGTGCTGGCCTGCACAACTATCAGGAATAGTTTTACCCAGAATGACTGGGTTGATGATTTCTCCCTGAGATAGGGTAATGCCACGTGCACAGCAGATGTGGTGCATAACGAACGCACAGTGGGCATAAAATCTTCATATCCACATCAAAGGCCACAAGCGTTTGACAACCACACCTGATACGTAGATGATCAACGATCGTCCCTGCACTCAACGTCGCTCCAGCAGTAGTAGCATGTTGCAAACCACCATCGTCCGTTGTCCATGTAAATGCCTCTGCTCCTTGTCTACTTCTTTGGCTAGATTTTTTGACAGGTAATCACAGCCATTTCTGAGTTGGTGTCAACGCCACTCGCCATGTCGAGGCCTAAATAACTGGTCCTCTGCTTCGAGTAGTTCTTGCTTGGCCTCATGAACTCCAGGAAATTCACTACTGCGACCATGAGCTACTCTATCTGCCCACGCAACAAATAAATATTTCAACCAAGCGCGATCGATCGCTGTTTGAAGTTGTGAATTTTCAAGCGCTTCCAGCTCACACGAGTCAGCGCTTGTCTACGCAGACTAGCAAAACTAATACTCTTGTACAGCTTGGCACTTTGGCAGAGAAAACACAACCTTGAGTCACTTTGGCTAACTGGATGACAGAAATTGTTGACAAGGAAGTTGCTTTGCTGACACGAGGCAGGGCAAAGCGGCCACGCAAGATTTATTTTTTCATCCACCATTTTCGGAAAAAATATATTTTTTATTCATGTGCCGCGTGACGAACCGTGACAAAACACGTGCATGCGTGGGCTAACTTGGCTTTGCTGCTCAAAGCCGTCATTTTACCCATACCTACATCACATGGTTCTTGAGTTATTGCTGGTTGTGTGTACATGTATTTGCGTGACCACCCCTCACATACATTGAGTTAGACCGGCAAAGGGATAAAACATCATGGTCAGCTACATAATGTTACTGTAAAGAAGCCTGCAACAGTACAGGAATACAATATGGCAATGGGCGGTGTTGATAAATTAGATCAACTCGTATTTTCGTTTCGTATACTTAGAAAAACGAAAAAATATTGGAAAACATTATTTCTTGATTTTGTAGAGGTAGCTGCTGTCAATTGATTCATTCTTTATGAGCATTGGTCTAGACAGAACCCAGGTGTTCTCGGTGGTGACCACACCATGACCCAGTTAGAGGACCGGCTGGCCATCATCCGGCAGTTGTGTAATATTGACCATGACACGCCGGTTCCACTGTATAACGAATCGGCAAGGCCACAGCCTGTAGTAAAACCACCACCACATCTACCAGTGTTTACTGAAGAGAGCAGAAACTGTGTGGTTTGCAAAGGCATCGATCCACCGAAGTCCAAATTTGCGTGTTCAGTGTGCAAGAACCGCAAAAACAATTCCGCTCATTTCTGCCTAAATTCAGAGCGTAATTGCTTTGCTGCTTATCATGCTGAGTAAAACACTATTCCGCGAGTGTATTATATTGGAAATATGACTGGTGTACAAACATAACTGTATAATTTGATATAGCCTTGGCTGTGCTGTCAGGACTTCTTGTTTTTTTTTGCAATTTTCACACTTTTTGACAATTTTCAGGACATGCCGCTGTAACACCAATTGAGATCTGGTCTTGACTATTGCTTCTCTGCAAGCCTTCATCCATCTACTTTCAGAAAAACAAAACATGTCCATACAAAATATCTGTCAGTCTTGAGATATGAGTGTATCTGTGGAGCGGGGGACCCCTTACATACATTAGAGGCGCGGTACATAAAGGGCTAAGGAGACGACAAGAAAACTGACAACTGACACCGAGAACAGACGAGACACGAGAATAATTATAATTATTATGAAAGCATACAACAGGGACAAGACGAGAAAATTTGTATAAAACGGAGACAAAAGACGGTGCAGCCGCATGTACACAGGAGTCAAAGACAGCGCAGCAGCGTGTACCAGGGTTCAGCAGCATGTAGGACAAAGAGACACAAACGCAGCAGCATGTACGACAAAGAGCTACACGCGCAGCCGCATGTACAATGAAGAGCTACAGGCGCAGCCGAATGTACAATGAAGCGCTACAAGCGCAGCCGCGAGTACAACACTGAATTCCTTCATACATGTCAACTTTTTCGAGTATAAAACTCTCGCTAGTGAAGGTAGCTATAGTAGAATGACTAAGATAGTGAAAATCACCCAGGGGCGTCGCACACAGTACGGTCACTACGGTATTGACCGTACCACTACTTGGCCCAAGTACCCCGTGAATCCATTAAATCCACTGATTTGGGCTCTAAATTTTCAAAACTTTCGGCTAAGCCATCCCTCCCCCACGAGTAAATTGTACTTCAGATGGCTGACCGTACCACACTAAATTACCTTCCGACGCCCCTGTCACCCTTTTGTACTGAAAGGGGTAAGCATAATGCAAGCACCTGAGGCACGAAGATTAGGGCTAAGCAAAATAGCCAAGTGCAAAACACTGTGAAAAACTAAACTGGTGATAATGTAAAGATGTGATACTAATAATCAGGCGTGAATTCTGCAGACAGCATAGTATAGCAAGTAGCAACGTAAGAGGCCCTTGGGGCATTCTCTCCAGGGGCGTCACCGGACCCCTTCACAAGGGGGTGCACAGGAATTTTGAACAGGAAACATTTTGCACAGGAAAACATGAAAAAGTCCGCTGATAGTGAGCTGGCCAGACGCTTTCCTTTTTCGAGAAGACGACATTTTGAGAGGAAACAGCTCCAAAGACTCTTCAAGTGTGGTGACCTGACTAACTTACTTGCGACCACACTGAATTATATATTTCTTCTGTTTCAAGCAAACACCCAGCACGCCGCCACGTGTGTAGATTCTAATACAAGACGCGTTCCAAAGGATACAGCGCTGCGCACACGTGCACGCGTACGTGCGTAGTAATTAATATTTAAAAAATGTCACGGTTCGCGTGAGACTCGGCTGGAAGCTAGCCGGGCTTTCCGCATCCGTAGGAACGCCACCACCCTTCAAAGATTACGGCGCAGATGCAGCTCCTAAAGCGGTGGCCAAAAAGCCAAATACTGCTTTTTGCTATATTTAGAAAAAAAGCCAAGAATGTTTGGAAGAGAATTGGTTGGGGGGGGGGGGAGAATTGGTTATATTATGCATGCACACATGCACGCAGCAGTAGCGCAACCCGCACAGTCCGTTTGCAGCAGCGAACCCCAAGCGCAGCGCAGTGCCAAATGTGACTTCGTAAAGGTCAAGGCCAACACTTGCAGTGGCAGGAGATAGTACACTGTTGGGTGGTTGAGCAGCTTGCATCTTGAATGTTGCCATTCTTTCTGTTTGTTTCATTCTACGTCTGCAGCTCCAGATACATGCACATACAGTAACAGTGTTTGTTTCACGAGCACTTGTAAAGCAACTCGTCCTAATGGGCCCTGCTCTTGTCAAGGTTCTGGGACACCCGGCGCCTCGACAACTGGTTGCACGCGTAAGTTAGCATCTGTACCTTTTTTGTCATTCTTCTATATTATGTATGGGTGACTTATTTCACTGTTGTTCTTTCAAATCTTTATTCTCGCAATGGCCTGTGGCCAATAAGAGATAATATAGTGAGATTAGTATGATCCGGAAATTTCATGGCTAGCAGTGATCAGACTAGATGTATGGGTGAGCGTGGCTCGTGCATGAGCAGATTGAATGCAGCAGTAGGGAAGATATCTTTTGCTCAAACACATCTGGTGATTAAATATCGCGTAACGTTGATTGGAGGCCATGGAAATAATGGAGAGATTTATACACAGGGGAACTCAGGCAGCGGTCGGTTCTTGCAGTTGGCAAATTCCAAGTGCGAGTGTGCCAAACGCTATAGAATGTATTAACACGATTTGTGGTTACGAGCATTAGAGTATGAGGCTGGGCGTAATGGTGGTGGATGGAGTGAGCAAACGTTACATAGCCAGCAATCGCATGTCATCACGTACATTGAAAATCAACATAATTTTGAGAATCGACCTTTTTTTCAGGATCACTTTTCAACGAGGACGAAGCAAAGTCGGCCGAACGAAGCCTAGAGGAAGAAAATCACCCTCTCCACTTCACCATCACGATACTGACATAGATACGAGATGAAACAACTAAAAAATCCACAAGAAAACTCTACGGCCATCATCGCGCTGACTTTGGTCTGACTTTGGTCTGAGAATTTCTATCATGATCAAAAATGTACGAGGAGCACTCAAAAATAAGCCACAGACGTACCTTTATCGCTCTCTACTCCTTTTTCAAGGCACAAAAGTCGACTCTCCACTTTCAAACCAGGAACCAGACATACCAGTGGTCCTTTTCAGCTGCTCCACGAGCGCAGGAAATGTTCACCAAGGGGCGCAGAGCAGCATCCATTCCAGAAAAAGAGCTAAAATACGAGTGAGACTGCATGACTGAGTACATGAGTACATGCAGAAAATAGTCAATTTAGGCGGTTCTGCTCCAAACAGCAACTAGCTTCGACTAGAAACAAAGATTACACCAAAGGATCAAACAACAACCATTTTCTGCAGTTTTTTTTGCAGATGGCTTCCTTGTGCTTGGCCCAGCACGCCAAAAATCACGCCTCGGAGGAGTACAAAAATTACAACTCTCAGATGTCCTCGATTGCTGGCCATGTGTGTTTAACTTGGATTCTCTCTAGCTTGTCTAAGCTAGTGTAGGATATGGGGGTTACAGCGATGCTTGCAAAAGAGTACAGGGGTAGGATGCGTCAAGTATAAATGGTTGCAAGAACAGAAGTGGTAAGGGTTGATCTTAGGCGGAATAGCAAGTTGAATGACTTGAGTGATTTCACTATAATACTATCAAAGTGTTTTGTCCAGCGCAGGTCATGTTGGGATATTATTCCAAAGTGACGGTGCTGTGTTACTGTTTCTAGTAGAGTTTATCCGAGTTTTATTTTGGGCAGTGGTGGTGGGGGTCGGTTAGCAACTTAGCATGGAAGAACGGGAGGATGACAGTTTTCGTTTTATTGACTAACAGGTGCAAGCGCTCTAGCCATTCTGTTGCAGCATTGACGCTTCTTTGTAGCGCAGCCTCACATTCAATGTAGCTGGCTGCAATGGCAATCAGTGCGGTTGTTGTTGTTGTTTCAAATCTTTATTCTCACGATAGCCCGTGGCCAATAAGAGATAATAGTGTAAGAAAGGAGAAAGAGTGAGGAAGAATTGGGTGGGCAGGGCCTAGGGGTTTATGACTACTTAAGTGTACGGGCAGGGGTGGTCGCTACACGAGCATACAGAGTTGTGTACTTAAGTGTACGGGCAGGGGTGGTCGCTACACGAGCATACAGAGTTGTGCAACAGCAGGGATATCTCGGATTTGAAGGGAGTACGAGAAGGGATTTCGCGAAGCTGGGCGGGCAAGCAATTAAAGTAATGAAGGGCCTTGTACAGGGGAGAATGGAGACAGCGGTCAGTCTGCGGAGTTGGCAAGTGCCAAGTACGAGAGCGACGTATTATACGAAGGTTGCACGTTGCTAGCAGTATGCAGCGAGAGTATATGTGGTGGGGCATAATTGTGGCGCAGAGAATGCGCGAAGAGTATATGTTTAACTTTAAACGTGAAAATAATGTTGGCCATTTGATGCGATGCAAAAGGTGGGAGTGTTCTAAGTTTGTGTAAAGGGGAAGGTGGAGACATATTCTGGCGGCTTTCCGCTGGAGTCGTTCTAGCCTGTCAAGGGAAGTGTGTGACAACGGTGTGAGAGCATTGCTCGCACAATTATGAGAATATAGGTAGTATGTATGTCTGATAGATGTGAGATAAAGAATCACTGGTGAGTGTAGGCCTTAGTCTAAAAAGAATATTGAAAGACTTGAGTGATTTTTTGACTATGTATTCAACATGCTCCGTCCAACGGTTGTTGTAGTTGTTGTTGCTATTCTTCCTTGTGTCGTCTCGGATGGAGAAAGAACTGCCTCTACGCTCTCGCCACGCCACACATCAAAAGGACTAGTCAAATGGTTGTTCTCTATTTCCAAAGAGAGAGCTTTTCTTGTAATGCGCTTCAGGAGCCGACGGGAGAACTCACGATTAACAACTAACACTGACAACGAACAACTGACACTGAGAAAAGACGAGACAACAGGATATAATAGTGAAGGCGTACAATGGGGACAAGACAAGCAAGTGTGTGCACAGCGGGGACAGAAAACGGTGCAGCCGCATGTACGCAGGAGTCAAAAACAGCGCAGCAGCATGTACCACGGCTCAGCAGCATGTACAATAAAGAGACACAAAAGCAGCAGCATGTACGACAAAGAGCTACTCTTGCAACCGCATGTACAAGGAAGAAACACAAGCGCAGCCACATGTACAACACTTGTGCTGTTTTATCACCTCTCTGCTGCACTGAATCAATTGTCACTGTTCCTTTGCGCTTTCCTGTATTCACCTGACGAGAAGGCTAGACAGTGCAGTCGACTCCTGATGTTACCAACACCATTGTCCAGGTGAATTAGTTCTTTGTAGCTGAAGTTCTTTAAAATTAAAGCACTCACGCCATACAAGCAACACATCATGATTGGCGTGTGACCCGTGACAGCATGATTGCACTTAGATTGCATGCGGCCCTACGAGCTATGGTTGGCTACAAACGAAACCTGTTCGCTATTAGGACCATTGTAAACTGGTTACATGTAGAACGCAACAAACCTGAGCATACTCTGTGTATGCACTAGCTTGTTCAAGTGCAGTTGCACGCTGACGAGTGGTCTGCAGTACCCTTGCAGTGCAGTGCGAGTTAGTGGCGCGCGCGCCTCGAGATTCAACAAGAAACTGCAGTTCAGACGAGAAATGCTGTTCTCAGAACGACTACTTTGTTTTCTTTGAATTCGTTCTGCATCTTTCCTGTTGTAGCCATACCTATGGACCTCAGGTAGACTCCGGCAAGAGACGGCGGCGGCCTTTGCAGTGATCAGTGATGTTTCAGGATCTCCAAAAGCTACTGAAGTCGTGTGATCGCTGGCTATTTCCTGTTCTTGATATTTTCAAGACGATCGATTACAGGTGCTCAAGTTTAATGCTGACGACAATGTTCGCCATGCTGTTGCGGACCAGTACCGTGGACTAGAGAAGTGGTTGCAACCTTTGGACGGCTTGGGATTGTCTCATACTCACCTTGTAAAACTGAACTATAGTACGCCCTACCACGGCCCGAATAACAAGAGCTCAAGTACGAAAAGTTCAGAAGTGCGCAAAAAGTCAATGGAAGTCTGAAACAGGAAACAGGATTGATATCCACACAGCGCCAAAACATCACGGTCACAAGAATGAAGTTCCTATCTCTGGAAGTTCAGGAACGCCTAAAAGCTTCAAAAGAAACCTTCAATACCCGTCCAAGGTCGGCAGAAACCCTTGCGCTACTTTCTAGGTTTTCCACCGTATGCCGTCAGTTGACATGACAACTTTTACTGGAACGCAGCACATAGGCGTTTTTCTACATGGTGTGCAAGGGGCCCTGAGGGGTCAATTTTGTATGGGTTCAAACAGGGAGCGACATGGACACTGGTTTGCTATATCACGAAATTTGCCAGGTGCGAGTTCGTTTTAAGTGGAGTCGACAGTACACTCTCGAACGCTCTCAGAATGTTGTTGAAGAACCTGAAGAATGTCCTTCTTGTATTTGCCTTCATATATTTGTCTCCCAGCAAATTGTGACGGAAACGCCACTAGTGATGCGATCCTTCAATAAGGACTTTAGTCCGAGGGAGACATATTAGCACACAAAGAGACGAAACCAGTTGTGAACGTCACGAGTCCTTTGACGCCATTACTTGTCAAACCAGCCTATTTCACCTGCATACTCAGAAAGTGGTGGACATCACGCAACTGCATTGTAAATAAAAGGGGGGTTGTCAACTGACAACCGCTCTATTCAGTTGCTATTCACTCTTTGGCGTATTAGCTGGATGTAAATTTATTTTATTAGTGATGTATGTCCATGTACAAAACAAACGAACACACACAATGGCCGTATGAAATTGAGTGTATGAATTCGCATGCACAGCAGACAAGGAAACGTGCACTGAAAGAGCGGGTATGCAAGAGCTCAGCAGATAAAGTGCAGGAAATGTGTGTACGAAGGTTTATACCACAATCATTGTGTGTACAACCCTGTACAGATACAGCAAGATTTAGCAGTTTCACTGTGAGGGTGAGGCCAAAGCAACTTGCTTGTGGTTCCACCTGCTAGCACTGCTCGTTCTGCTAAGCGCCTAACGCACGCTGGAGCCATTATGTGGAATAGATGGCCACCAGCAGCAAAATGTTCAAATAGGTATTTGGATTTTAAATCTCAAGCCTTGCAGTATATATTATCAGCGACATAGGTTTTCCAATGCTCACTGGATTGATATCTGTTCGTTGCAACCAACCCTCCGTTTTTTCTTTCCTTTCTCTTTTTCTCTTGTATCTACTTTTCCACAATATCCTTTAACATGTTATTCACAGTGGGTCCAATGTTATTAGGCATTTTGCCTGTTTTGATTTCCACTATAAATAAAGTATACAACAACAACAAAGGGTGCTAGCGCCTTTAATAGCCCTCCGAAGGAGATATTGATCTCCGGACGACGCTCTCGAATCTTGATTGACTCCCTGATTTTTCTTCTGGCCATCCATGTCTTCACAGCCAGTACTTGTGCCTCAATGAAAATCACATTTGTGCTATTCATGGTTCTGTGCTGCTCGGGATCAGTAGCCATGTGTTTACCCCACGGTTTGTCGAGCATCCTGTGACATGCTTCCTAGTGGTGTTCCTCAAAACGGTTGTTGTTGTTGTTGTTTCTTTATTTTACTTCACCATATGAACAGGCAAGACTGCCTTCTCACCGGGGCTATTGGCCCACGACTCTCACAATATGATGAAAAAGGTCTCTTGCGACCCTGAAGGTCTCACCGACATATCGCTTCCGACACAGTTAGTGCGCACTTGATCATACAGATAATGCCGGGGAATCACACATGCAGCTCGGCAAACCAGAGGAGCATGAGATGCAGGGGTTGAGCGGTCTTCCTCGCCTCCGCTGTTCTCGGCGCCTCACTCCTTCTTGTGTCACGCTGCACTTCGTTGGATTCAGCGCTGACTTCACGAGGGCATCTTTGAGGTTGGGGGTGTGTCAGACACGACATTAACCAGGAACCCTGAGCGCTCGACTAAATTCTTCGCCTTCTGCTGAATCTCTTCTATCTCCTAAGCGAAAGGGTAGCTTCAGTATAGCAGCATCTTTCTTCATTTGCCTCACGTCGTTGGGCAGTGTGCCAACTTTTCGATGATTGCCTCAAGATAGTTGTTGCTTTGCAGCAATCTCTTCGATGATTGCCTCGGGATAGTTGTTGCTTCGCAGCAATTTCTTCGTCATACCGAGACTCTCACAGGCTTGTGCTGGTGAAGACGAATTCTTTCGAGCCCTGACGAAGTGCTGCTTACCGACCGCATACTTGACGGAGCGAGGCACTTGGGGATGAAAGTCCACGTTGACGCCGCTGTTACTAGGCTTCCTGTACAGGCGGTGTGTAATGGTGCCGTCGTCAGGGGTAACCTCAAAGCAAACGTGAAGAAATGGAACAGGTCCATTTTCACTGCTTTAGTAAGTCAACTTGTTCATAGGGCGCTGGCTTTTGCAGTGGGCAATGAATACCCGTAGAGCAGCTGAGCCATAGATCCAAATTGAAATTGTATCGTCGATGTACCTTGCATAGAGTGATGGCTGGAGGGTGGCAGTCTCCAACATATGGGTCTCGACCCAGTGCATGAAGACAATAGGGATAAACTGTATCCATTGAACTTGTGCTTCATCACGTTTATTCCCTTACTTACGGCTATACAAAAGACGTTACTTCGGTAACGTCTGGCGCTAGCCAGAGTCCACACAGCTTTATTTCCGTGTTTGTTTGTTTGTTTGTGCCATCGGCATGCCTGGTGCTATCACGTGCCTGTCCAGTACCGTACCATCAAGGACAGCATCGGAATGCCTGGCGCTATCCCGTACCTGTCCCGTACCGTACCATCAAAGACAGCTGGCCACAATAGTCAAATAGGGCTTTCAAATGCAAGATCATAACGTGAAGCAACTTGGAAGAATGAGTATATGTGAAGTGTATCGGGGGAATGCATGCAGGGCGATAGTGCGGGTTCGAATCCTAGGTTATGTCTTAAAAAAAAGGAGAAATGAAAAATTTATAACATCCCTATGCTTTTTTTGCCTAGGTCATCAAGGCGGTAGATGAAGTCGTATTACCCTCGAATGCAAAGAGAAAGTTGACTCTCGCTAGGCAAAAAAAGCATAGCGTAGGGCCATGAGCTTCCAGGCTCTCTCGTTACCACGTGCTGAATTGAGAAGTAATGGTACGAAAGGTCTCATCAGTTTCACAACTGGATTTATTTCTTTGTGTGCCATTATGCAAATCTGCTCTTGTCATGGAAAACCACACAGTTGACTCTCTACAAGACCATAATTACTGAGACTACTGCGATTACTATGTTGATGTAGAGAATTCTAAATTATTGAGATTCTGTTTGCCGTACTTCTGTATTCCTCCTATTTGCCTCCTCTTTGTTTAGCTGGACAACCAAGGACTGCACCAGCAACAATGCCACCAGCCCTCACAACACCAGCGCCCACAACACCAGCCCCCACAACACCAGCCGCCAAAACACCAGCCGCCACAACACCAGCCACGACAACACCAGCCCCCACAACACCAGCCCCCACAACACCAACCACAACAACACCAGCCACAACAACACCAGCGACAACTACAGCAGCCTCCACAACACCAACAACACTAGCCCCCACAACACAAGCCACAACAACACCAGCCACAACAACACCAGCCACAACTACACCAGCCCCCACAACACCAACAACACTAGCCCCCACAACACAAGCCACAACAACACCAGCCCCCACGACCCCAGCCCCCACAACAGCCGCAGCAACGACACCAACTACTAATCCCACCAGCCAAGCGCAGATCCCAGCTACCATCCCAGAAGACACGCGTAAGTGATTGTGAAACTCTGAGCTTGATCAATATTACTATGTATGACCTATCACTATGTGCCGTTATCTTTGCCCTGTATTGCCCCAGTAGGCAACGTTGGCGACAAGCAACTCCCGTCGTATGCAGCATACTTTGTATCACTGGCATTCACTGCTACACGTCCTGTAGTCTAGGTTCTATGTTATACATGGCTAACACTTCCGCTGTTGATGTATTGACTTTCAATCACGGTGACTGGAGATGCGGTTGCACACTACTTAGCTCCAGTTACATCTGCCAGTACATGCACTGTCACACCCTGAAATAAACTGAAATTGTATGCCTGCACTGCGCATTATAAAACACACCACGTGTTTTCCTGGGAAACTGGGAGCAAAGGCCACGCAGGACGAATCCGGAAGTTGAAGTGTACAACAATTTCCATCACCGCTGCCACCAATGTTGTAGATAGCTTTTCTTCACCTGCTCCCAGTCCCGTGTCATCTCCACACTCGGACAATTGGACCATGATAACTACATTGGAAAGACTGTATATTACAAGACGACTCCGGAAACACAACTAGACATGACGAACTCAAGACAAAGACTGCTTTTCACACCACAGCAACACGCGCATGCACCAACATCACGTACACACCACGTACACAAAATAACGTACTACAATAGTATGTCAATTTCACACTGTCTTTGTGGTCCACTTCACAACAATAACACACACAGAAGTCTCTGCTGTGAGCACGGTGGCTCGGCAATGGCTTTATTATTGATATTATTATATCTCCTTCCTGATATTTTTTCTTTTTTTTCTTTTTGAATAATTGTACGCATAGGGCCTGATATCATAAGAAAAATTAGCACAAGACACTGCTGCTACTGTAGTCGCACAGCAAAACACACAGAAAACGACAAAATGTTACAATGAATGTAACAACACCCGTCCAAGCTAAAAGACCGACATCCCTGCCCCAGGACGGCATCTCGAAACCCCCACACACTCACCACACGGTCATCATCCAGCTTCAGTTCAATCACTGTATTCTTCCCCTGCAGACTCAACCCCCCTGTCACAAAAAAACGCAGGATCCCTGCAGACCACCACGCAGACCGTGGCTCGCCATGATCAGACGCCCACCCAAACGAACTAGAGAGACCTACATGCCGAAACACAATTATTACAAAACCATACGCTCACAAACAAAATTCACCCTGGATCCGAAACGAGAATCCTACATGAAGTTCACACCTCCCACCAAACCGGAAGCCACCAGCTTTCCGACTGGGTGCACAGTGCATGACCGAGCCTGACAATACTCTGCACGGAACATGGAGAAACTACTACTACTACTACTACTACTACTACTACTACTACTACTACTACTACTACTACTACTACTACTACTACTACTACTACTACTACTACTACTACTACTACTACTACTACTACTACTACTACTACTACCGTACTGGCAATATATGTTGCCGCAGTGAGGCCATGAAGCGTTACATTGGCACATGTTTGCCGCACGCAGGGCGTTACATGCAAAGTCGCACAGGAGCCGTTACACAGGTTTCTATATTGCCGCAGTCCTTTTTTTGCTATTGCCGCATCACTTTTTTGCTATTGCCGCATCATTTTTTTGCTTTTGCCGCATCATTTTTTCTTTTCATCCACATTGAAGGCACAGAAATTCAGTTGCTATCCAACTGTTACAAACCCGACGGCAAAGGGCGACAACGATATCAATAGAAGACTGTATATTTTAACTATCAGAGTGATCTGTTCACAAAAAGATCATCAAAAGAAAGTGACATAGGGGAAGAGCGCTTCCTCCAAAAACTTCTGTCACTCACACAGTTAATGAGTGTACAACATATTACTCTTCTTCGCAAAACGACCTCGGGAAAGAAGAAACCATTGAGATCGCCAACCACTGAATGATGCGCCTTCGAGTGTCAGGACTTCGCGTAGCTGCTGCGTCCAGTTTTGAACTTTTCACCACGCGTAACACGTGCTTTCACAGTTTTCAGCCTTTTTTTTGCAGTGCAAACTGCAATGAAAAGATCGCCGCACCCCGCCGGACGAGCGTTACGAACTTGACGAAAATTTGTCGCACTAGCCTGGTCGCGCGTTACGCGTTACGCGGCAACATATATTGCCAGTACGGTACTACTACTACTACTACTACTACTACTACTACTACTACTACTGCTACTGCTACTGCTACTGCTACTGCTACTGCTACTGCTACTGCTACTGCTACTGCTACTGCTACTGCTACTGCTACTGCTACTGCTACTGCTACTGCTACTGCTACTGCTACTCCTACTACCACTACCACTACCACTACCACTACCACTACCACTACCACTACCACTACCACTACCACTACCACTACTACTACTACTAGTACTAGTGAAACGGTAGAAACACGAAACAAAACAATATGGATCGACTACAAACGAGGCAGCACCTCGAGAACGTTCAGGTGGACATCCAAACCAATCACACGACACAGTCACAATATCGGAGCAGTCCGGCGGCAACTCGGTCTCCGTGACAAGCACAAGGGCACAACACAAGACGAGATCAAAGCTACCCATGCTGAATTCACGACGAGCAAGCAAAAACAAGTTCCAGATTCGAACGCGTAGCACACGAAGAGAAGTTTGAAATTTTCATACACACAACCGTACAGTACAGGGTAGTCAGAGAGACACAGGAACAACGAACACAACGGGGCGAATTTACAACGAGCAGCTAGACTACACTACACACTCGAGCACAAGAGAACAAGGTTCCACGGACTTCCTGCCGGGACCAGAGTCACCCAACGCAAAACAATTTGAAAAAATTCGAAATCGAATACAAGTTACGGCAACACATTACGCAGAGTAGACAATTACAAAGGCATTCTCACCTGAGTAGGCGCTCTCATGAGAGGCTTGGACGGTCGTGAGACATTGGTGGGGCGGCGAGGAGACGAGGAATACGAGCTGACGGCGACGCGTCGACGAGCTTCAGGGTCGTGGGAAAGATTAGTTGGGCGCCAAATGTCGTCAATTTAATTGGACGAACTGTTGCTCTCCTCGCCACTCCACACAACAACAAACCCCCCGCGAGCAAATGTCGTCACGGGTTTGAAAACCGTGAACGAACTGCCTCTACGCTCCTCACCACGCCACACCACAAAGGACCAGTACAACTTGTTAGAGAGCTTTTTCTTCTACTTCATTTCAGTAGGCGACTGGGGAACTCATAAAGAAGAACCAACACTGACAATGAACGACTGACGACTGACACAGAGATAAGATTAGACAACAGAATATATTATAGTGAAGGCGTACAACGGGGACAAGACGAGCAAGTGTATACCAACGGGGACAGAAGACGGTGCAGCCGCATGTACGCAGGAGTCAAAAACAGCGCAGCAGCATGTACCACGACTCAGCAACATGTACAACAAAGAGACACAAAAGCAGCCACATGTACGACAAAAACCGCATGTACAACAAAGAGACACAAGCGCAGCCACATGTACAACACAAGTAACTAACTCCTTGTTGTGTATGCAAGTTAGTCATTATATATCTACTACACCGTTTGCTACTGACTGCGCATGCTCGCATATGGTTGTTGTTGTTACTTTACCTGACCAAGAGGAATGTCTTACAAATGCTAGTGTTTGTGTGTGTCAGTAAGAATGCATGAGTGTAATGGAATGTTAGTCCGCAAGGGGACATAACAATTTGGCGACGAAGATAAAAGACGAAGATGTCGCGATCGAAGCTTGAAATATTTGAAAAAGGTGATTTTCGTGAGCGCCAACTCCAACTTTCAAGTCGCACGACAAGAAATGTTTTCGGTGTGACAAGGCTGGTCACAAACCGGAAGAGTGCCGCTTCAAGAGTGTGAAGTGTCACGCATGTGGTACGGTGGGTCACATCGAGAGAGCTTGCCGCAAGAAGAAGTCTGGACAAACCGTCCATCACATCGCGGAAGAAATTGGTGAGTTCGTTCCATGTGCTAGTAAACCCGATGTCACCATGTATAGTGTAAATGCAATGGGGCGACTACCGTACACTGTATCATTAGATGTAATGGGTACCACTATCCAAATGGAGATTGATACGGGAAGTGCTGTCACGATTCTCAGCAGCGCAGATTTCTTGCAATGCAATGGTGTGCTGAGTAACCTGATGGAATCCAGTATCAACCTTGTGTCCTACTCTGGAGATGTGATTAATTGTCTCGGGGAAGCGGAAATGGAGTTCCGAATGGGCACACAATTGCACACACTATTGGTGAGGGTTACAAATGGAAACCGTCCATCTATTCTGGGCAGAGATGCAATGGCTTTGTTCAAACTCCCCTGGAAATCAATTTGAGCCGTCAGATGAGAAAACAGACCTTATCACAAAAAAGTCATATTTTTGTTTGTGGTACTATCTGATTGCCAGGAGCACCAGGAATCGTATGCAGAAAACTAGAGTTGATTTGGACCAGGGAAAGCAAAGTTATAGCCTCGACAGTAGGAGACCATTACAAATTGCACCTCAATTTTGGGTGCAATACCAACAATTGTTTCACCTACTTTGGATAATATTTTCTATTTCCTTTGATCGATTTCCACAAACTTGGGCTTTCTGGAAAGCTCTGGTGACAAGCAACCCGTTGGGCCCAAATCCGATAGCAAATAAAGCACAGCTCCAGCGCAACAAGCTGCAGACATCGCTTCAGCGCTAGACTTGCGCCGTCACACGAAAATCGCTCGCCATTTCCATCTCCATTATCCCAGGACGCCCAATTTTTTTCGTGAAGATGCAGTGAGAGCTTCCAAGACGTCTGAGCCTGTTGCCGAGATCGTAGATCGCTTGAAAAGGGGGAAACCCCAGGTCTGGAGCGTTTGACTCGCGTGTCGAAATGCAAAGTGCCGTGACGTATCTTGCAGGCTTCGCATCTCGGGAACGCAGCATCGTGCCGCGATCGCGCTTGCTGCA